CCCCGCGCCACGGCTCGCCTCCCCACCGCCTTATTCGGGTTGAGACCCCTGGCCCCCCAGCGCCCCCTCCCGAGGAGCGGATCTCTGGACCCCCCGCCAGCAGCGACAGGGTGAGTGCTGCGCCGGGCGGGGGTGGCCGAGAAGAGAGGTGGTAGGAGGTCTGGGGCTTTCAAGAGGGACAAAGGTGGCCTGGCCGGGGCTGGGCCCCTCAGTGTCACAGTTCCTGGCGGACACGATCTGAATCCTTGACCCGGGGGCTTGGAGCCTTCACCCACCTTTGTTCAAATTCTCGACCGACTAATCTGGGACGGGCGCCCCAAACTCTGCTTCTGTCCCTGTTACCGCGCAAGACTAGTGACCCTCTTCATCTCGGGCTCTGCTCTCCTCATCTCAGTCTCCCCGCCTACCCCCCTCGCCCGGGGACCTAATCAGCTAGGTTTTTTCTAACTGGATCTGCGCACACCACTCCCCAGCCCCTTCACCAGTTTATGGCCTTTCTGCCCTCCAGGAGCAGCAGCTCCCTGCCCTTTGATCTCTGACCCTCCCCCCCCCCCCCCCCCCCCCCAGGGCAGAAGCAACACAAAGCTCCATTCCTCCTCCTCGGGGAGCCCAAGCATCCTTGCAGGTGCTGAAAGCCCCAGGAAGGTGAGGGCTGGGGGTTCTCCCTGTGGATAGAGCAAGAGCTGGCCTTTGCCTTACCCAGTGGTACTGGAGCCAGGTGGACTGTTGTTCTCAGGAAGCCGAACAGGCAGTATGTAGCTCTTCACCGAGGATACTGACCACTGAGGTCCAGCCAGGCAGGCCCACTCCTGCACTCCTTCCCTTGTCCCCCCAGGTATGGGGGCAATCAGTGCTTAGAACTTGTTGCCCAGAAGGGGATGAACAGCGGATCCCACTTCTCCCCTCCTGGCCTCCCCTTTCCTAGGTCCATTCTGAGGGAGGCTAGAGCCTTTAGTGGACCTGCAGGCATGGGATGAAAGGAGAGCTGGGCATTCACTGTTCTAGAGAACATCCACTCTGCATCAGAGGCCCTCGGTGGAGAAGCCATCCCCTATCTTACCCCATTTTGGCCTTATCCCTCCTTGATAGCTTGAAAGCCATCCCCAGGTCTCTGTAGCTCTAAATTCCATGACAGTGACTCTGGGCTGCCCTGGCTTTGTTGTCCCCTCCTCACACATCCATGGGAGCTCAGCTCTAGGATTTAATCCCTTAGCAGAGAACACAGTTTTATTTGATTGGAGAGCAAAGTTGCTGTCTCAATCTATTGGCTCCAATGTTGAGGCTTTCAGTGGAGAGAGCGACATTCTGCCTGATTCCCTGGATAAGATAGATGTGTCAGGGTCACAGCAGAAGCCTCAGGAATGTGAATTATTTTTCCCGTAGTTCCTGCCATGGGGCATGACTGCCCATCCTGGGCCAGGATCCTTAGCCTGCAAAAGAAGGCAGTGCTTTCATCACATGTCCTTTGGCTCCGCTCCTTCCTTGTCCCCTTCTACTGGGTGATGTGATGGTGGTGGTGGCAGTGAGGCAGAGGGAGCATTAGGCCTTGTTATTACTATTGACCAGTTAGTTTCCTCCCTGACCATTGGCACGTGGGCCTTAGTTGTCCCTGGCCTTCCTCTCTGCAATGTCTTGGAATGTCCTAACAGGCTGCGTCCCAAGCCAGGGGCTCCTCTAGGACAAGGATGGTGTCCTCCTCATATCTATATCTCCCAAGTGCCTGACATACGCTTGGCATAAAAAAGGGTGAATGAGGGGAGCCTGGTTGGCTCAGTCAGGTAAGCAGCCGACTTCGGCTCAGGTCATGATCTCGTGGTTTGTGGGTTTGAGTCCCTTGTCAGGCTCTGTTCTGACAGCTCAGAACATGGAGACTGCTTCAGATTCTGTGTCTCCCTCTCTGCCCCTCCCTGACTCGCACTCTGTCTCTCTCTGTCTCTCAAAAGTAAATAAATGTTAAAAAAAAAGGGGGGGGGGCAGAGTGAATGAAATATGTCCATTGAACAGTAACTGTCCATTGCTAGGGTGACCTGAAGGTCAGAGACTCCCTTGACTATAGCTCCCTTTTGTACATTCCCCCCACAGAGACCCCCAAGGAAGGGGCTGCATCCACACAACGATGTGGAGACCCATAGCCTCTCACTGAGGGCATCCATGCCTCAACCTGGGTCAGCTCTATGATCTGTGGGCTATTCAGACCTTAGGGGCCAAGAGTGTCTGACTCCTTTGTCAACTACAGGGACAGGAATGAAATCCAGCAGGATCTCCCAGGAGCCACACAATCTGTGGTTTCTTTAGTGGGTGTGATGAGAGGGATTCAGGGTGCCATCCAAGCTGGCTCAGGGGCAGGGACATTGCTCTGTGGGCCCTGACCTGGAGCTTCCCACCATTGAGAGAGAGCAGCTCCACTCATCTAGGAGCAGACTTTGGGGGATCCTAGAGTCTTACCTTAGGAAGAGTCCAGGCTAGGTACCTAAACTCCTTATCCTAAACCTAAGTGTTCACATAGACCTGCAGAGCTCACACAGAGTTGCTGTCCCTAAATGGTGAGCCTGCCTGTCGAGCTGGAATTTCTGTTCTGTGAGGCTGTTTTCGCCCTATTCTCTGTTCCTCTCCTCTCAGCCATGCAGGTCTTCTTGGCTTGTTGCTTTTGGGTTCCTTCCTGAGGTGAGATGGGGACTATGGACCAGGGTGTGCCTTGGGCTGGTCCATTTTCCTCCTCCTGGAGCCCAGTGGTTGGTGCTGGGTGGGTTAGAACCCTCTGAGAGGGCCTGGGTTGTGAGGTTTGATGAAATGGGTGGAAATGCTTCTGTGATGAGAAGATTGAGGGGGAAATGAGCCCTGTGGGAAGTGAATGTGGGGGCAGGAAATAATGGGGATTTGGACAGAACCCTGAGAGGCCAAGGGGGCTTAGGACCAGTAATGTCTCCCCATGCAGGGCTCTGGCTACTGGCTCTCCCTGAGACCCACCGCTGCATTTGGCAAGGGGGCAAGGGTGGCCATCTGGGTAGGCCTGGCAGGGCAGGTGTGGGAGCAGCAGGAGCCGCACCCTGAAGCAGGCAGGCAGGGCCTTGCCATCTGGCCATAGGAAGAACTCCCTCATGGTGCTGGGCCCTGTCCGGCCTCCAGGCCATGCTCTGTTAGAGGGGTTAGAGAGCTGGGCCTTCCTTACTTTGTTCCCTTTTCTCAGACCTGCAACAGGAGAATCCTGGTCTAATTAGGAAAGGGGGATGGGTATAGGAAAGTGGCCCTGATTGGATGAAGCTTTGAGCTGCCTGTGACCATCTGCACAGTGTGTCCTTTGCCTTGATCCTGCCAAGATTGTGTGTGTGTGTGTGACAGAGAGACAGAGAAAGAGATGATGTGAACAATAAGACAGGCACCCTGTAGGAGTTGAAACTAGGGCTCTTGTTCTTAGCTCATGAGGGGCTTCTGCGGTTCATGAACCTTCCAGAAATTGTGGGCAAATATTTGGGTGCATGAGCATTTTTCTCCCAGATTCTCATAGGGGTTCCTAGGACCCAAAATATTAAGAACTTTTAAAATAGGTATACCTTATACATGGTGTCCACAGGGACTTTGATCCTCCAGGCCCAAACTTGGAAACAAGTGAAAAGACAGGTGGAATGAGGAAAGGGAAGGAGACGTTCAGGGGGTCTGAAGTCAAGCAAGACATCCCTGCCCTGGGGTTAGGAAGGCAGGTGGGGGCTGCTACTGCAGGACCCTGCTTTAGCCCGTGTTCACTGAGGGTCTGTATATCATTAAGTGACACTGGCCTGGGCGCTGAAAGGGACTCACCACCTAGAAGATCTACCTGGTCCTTGCCTTTTTGGAGTTCATTTGCTTTAATTTTCCTTCTATGAGTTCCACAGAGGCTGGAGTTTGATCTGCTTATGTTGCAAATGTCCTCTGATGGAGGCAGAGGGAGGGAAGAAGGGCCCAGGTGAAGGGACCTTTGTAGACTGGTTAGACCTCTTAACCCTTTGGGGCCTGGGCTGCCCATCTGTGCTGCCATTGGTTTGCTGAGGCCTGTAGCTACCCTGGGATTTTATGGTAGGCCTATCCACTCTTCCCAGTGTCGCCTCCTCACATGGTGACACTCCTTTGGGAAGACACCTGCAGCTTGTTGGCTTGGCCAGTGACTCGGTGACACCTCAGTCAGCCATGGCACTCCACCTGTTGGGAGCTGGGAACAGCTGGGGCCCTGTGGACCATGGGTGGGAGCAGCTGACTGGGGCCTGGGGCTTGGAGGGGTAGCTGCTGCCCTCTCCAATTTGCCCTCCCCACAGAACCACTGTGATGTTATGTGAAAGCAGAGGTGGAGCCCAGTCCCAGCACGCTGCCTGATGCCCAGCCGTGGGGCTTCACAGCACCTCAAGGTGCCACACTCGTTTTGGAGCTTGCTTTGTGGCTGTCACCGTGAGCTCCTGGAGGACCCAGAAATTTGGTCTTTTCGTCTTTAATGATATAATGGCAGATATTTGCTGAGTCCTTACCTTGTGCCTGGTACCATTTTGAAGCGGCTGATACGTTTTAGACCAGTTGATTCTTACAACGACCTTACGAGAAAATTCTGTTATTATCCCCAGGTTCTATCTAGGGAAACTGAAGCACAGCAATGTTGAGTCACACTTGCATGGTTTCACAGCTAGTAAGGAGAGCCCAGGTTCACAACCAGGCAGCCTGACTACAGACTGGCTACCAATGCCAGGCCCTGGGACCTTGCACCTGAGAGGGGCCCTGCAGACAGGAAGCATTCACTAAGTATTTGTTAATGAACAAGGGGAAGGAGACTCAGAGAAGGAATGAAGAGTGCATTCTGTGCTGAGTTCGCCATTACCTGAATGCTGAAGGCCAGCACTTGCCACCAAATCCAGGGCCACAGATGTTGTCAACATCGATTGTATGTCTGTGACATTTGAATGTTTTACAAGCATGGCATTTCTCTGTAATTAGAAAAAGATGATATAACAAATTCATTGCATGTGAATGAGTTTCCATGGCAGATAAAACTGGGAAGGCTATTCCAAGAAGTGGGAACAGAGGGTGCAAAAAGTTTGATCTTGAGAAAGGTAAATGGTATACCTTTTCCTAAACTGACAGACTTTCAGTGGAAAAAGGACTTCACGGTTAAATACTTTGAAGAAATGCTGAGTTAAACAAAGTTAGCTGTCATGAGTTTTAAGGTCTTATTTATTTATTTGGGAGAGACAGAGTGAGCAGGGAAAGGGTAGACAGAGAGGGAGAGAGAATCCCAAGCAGGTTCTGTGCTGCCAGAGCAGAGCCTGATGCGGGGCTTGAACCCACGAAAGCGTGAGATCATGACCTGAGCCAAAACCAAGAGTCTGGTGCTTAACTGATTGGGCCACACAGGCACTCCCATGCTAAAGTGTATTTTAAATCTACAAGCAGCAGAGAGAAGATGCTACATTTCCTAAATTCTCTGGAAAATCTGCAGCAAGGCACTGAGAGTCAGGACACCTGGGTGTCTCTACTGCTGCAGGCCATGCACCCCACCAAGCACCTAAACTGTGGGCTGTAGTGTCTGAATATAAGAGATCATCATCAGGGCTAACATTTGCTGAACACTGACTCCATTCCAGCTTCTGAACTAAGGATTTCTATATTCATTTTCCTCTTCCCAATCCTCTGACATAGGAACTAATACCATCCCCATTCTACAGGTAAAAAACCAGGGGCTCCCAAACATTAAGTGTCAACAAGAAATGGAGGAAAGGGGGCAGTGGTAGACTTTGGGGACCTTGCAGAGCCCAAATCCTGTGACACATGCCCCCCCCCCACCCTTGCTCCACTTGGACGCGCAAGCTCCATGGACATGGTCAGGAACTCATAGCCAGCTCCAGCTGCAGAGCGGAAGGTCAAGCCAGATGGTGGGCCTAACAGCCACCAGGAGAGGCTTAGGCAGGAAGGAGAGTGAAAGCATGACAGCTGCTGTGGGAGGGGTGCTGCCCAATTGGAACAGGCACAAGAGCTGGGTCTGGAGGCACCCTGCTGGATGGCAGGAGGGAGGGGATCTGGTTGGCAGGAGGCAAAGGGGGCCCTTTGGGCAGCAGCTACTTGCCTACTAGTTTGGAAGTATTTCAGCATTTCGGTAGCATTCTGTCTACCACAGTGTTTGCCGAAATATTAGCCCTGTTTTTAGATACCTTCCCTGCCAGTTCTTTCACCTCTGCCCTTGAATCAGAGGCTTGGATTCCCTTTCAAATGTCGATTCTCCTGACAGCCTGCTCCTACAGCTGCTACCGGTTGGTCAGAATGGTCAGAGTTGGGGCAATTGGGGATCTGAGAGTCTGTGTCACCCCAGAAGATAGAGTCTGAGGAGAGGGAGGCCTTTCGAGCATCCAGTAAATGTGCATTGAGCACCTACCGTGTGCCAGGCCCTGTGATGGATGTGGTATACAATAGTAAGTACAGCAGAGTCAGGTAAAGGTCCTATAAACAAAATAAATCATGGTAGAGCAAAGGTGTCAGAAGCCTGCAGAGGCAGCTTTTCCCCGCTGAGCAGTTTTGCCTCTGCACATGATCTAGAAGCCACTGGGAAGGCAGGCCTGGCCTCTGACAGGGATCCTCTGTGCCCAGGATGGGTGTCCATCTTGCCAACCTTTCCAGCAGGAGTTTCTGCCTCTGCTCCTGACTCCCAGCCCTGTGGGTGGCTTCTCTGGGTGACCCGCCCAGGGTGGGGGGCTAGGTTTTCCTGGAGCAGGGTGTGGAGTCAGGGATGGAACAGAGGAGCCATTGAGCTGCCTACAGAGCTGCCACCTGGGTGCCCACAGGCACCGTGGGCTGGCACTGGGGAGGCCCACGCTGGCTGGGAGGGGTCACAGCTCGAGCACCAGCCAGGATTCCAGTGGGAAGGGCACTGGCTTGGGAGGGAAGGGCTAGGGTGCTCTGTAAAGTTGGGGTTGCTGGGCTTGGCCAGGTACTTCTCACTGAGCAGTTTCCCAGGATTCAATGCCCCCCTCCCCAACCAGATTCGTGATTCCTTTCTTTTCCTAATAAACCAGGAAAAGTGGTTCCTTTGTCCATTCTTCCTGTTTTATGTGAACTAATTTAACAAGTATCTACTAAATACTTTCAGGCGCAGGGAATTTAGCAGTAAACGTGTTTCCTACCCTCAGGAAGCTCACAGTCTGTAGGAAGAAGATAAGTGTTTACGACACAATAATAGCCCAGCACAGAGGCACCTAAGCATACCTGCGGGGAGAATGGAAAGGCTTTCTGAAGAAAGAAAATAATCCAATCCGGGCAGAGGGAAAGTAAGAAACAAAGCATAGAGCTTTCAGGTAACAAAGTAATCTATGGTGGGTAGGGAGAAAGGTAAGAGGAAAATAGAATCTTTAAATCCCTTTAACTTTGGGCTTTTTTTTTTTTTCTCTTTAATAATTATTTAATTTTGAGAGAGAGAAAGAGCATAGGGCAGGGGAGGGGCAGAGAAAGAGGGAGGCCCAGAATCCAAAGCAGGCTCTAGGCTCTGAGCTCTCAGCACAGAGCCCAACGCAGGGCTTGAACCCACAAACTACAAGATCATGACCTGAGCCAAAGATGGCTGCTCAACTGACTGAGCCACCCAGGTGCCCCTACTTTGGGCTTTTTCTTGTGGGCATTACACGGTTTAAGGATAACACGTTCATTGATTCAGTTACTAAGTAGCTGCCACATAGAAGCATGAGGCTGGGTGCCAACTGCCAACTCCAGAGTCCCCTTTAGTCAGGCGGGTGGGACTGTGAGTGCTAGTTGGCCTAGGAGGAAGCAGCTTGGGGTGGGAGTGGATTTCTTGTCTCTACTTCACGGAGGAAAGAGGACTAGGGGTAGAGGGCTCCATGGGGAGATAGGCAGTGATCTAGTAGAAACATTTTTCTAGTACCTACTGTGTGCCAGATGCTACAGCTGGAGAGACAGAAACAGGAAAGAACTCTAAGCTAGTGGATGATATGGTGGTGGGGATGGGATGACCTGAGATGGTGGTCTTCTCAGACGCAGGTAGAGATTTGAGGGAGGTGAAGTTGTTAGGGGGCTTGGGTGGAACAAGATAGAACAAGGTGGGAGCTGAGGAACCGAAGGAAGAGATGGTAGGAGTTGTTCGGGATGTGCTTCAGAGACCCCTACAGGGCTCGTACAGGGCTCAAGAAACATGCAGGAGTGGTCTCTGTAGTAGGCAGTTTCCTTTCTCCATCTCTGCCTTGCTAGGATCCTAGATCCACTGACCCAGGGCAGGGGGTCACCCCACAGCGTCCCTGCTCAACTGGCTCCCAGAGTCCTGGTCTGGCCCAGACCCAAAGCCTACACTGAGAATGGGGGAGAGGCAGGATTGGCCCCTCCTTGTGCCGCAGGCCCCAGAGCCACCTCTTGTCAATGCCTGTCAACTCAGTGTGCAGTGCTTCCCCTGAGGTGCTGGCAGCCCTGGGTGGGCTGGGCTCTGTCCCCGCCTCAGCCTCCCCCCTCCCAGAAGCCTGTGCCCAGCTTGGAGAAAGGCTCTATTGTCCTCAGCTGCACCCCGCCCTGAGCACCTTGAGCTCTTACTAAGGGTGTGTGGCTTACAGTTCACTCTGCCTTGACTAGGAGCAGGTACAGAGGGGTAGTCATGAGCCACTTGTAGGGGAGACAGGAGCAGTGTGGGATGTGGTGGGCCAAGGCAACACCTTTCCTGTTCCTGTCATCCAGGAGCCAGGAGATTTCAGAAAAGCCCAAATCCTGGCTTTCCTCAGGGCTGTCCTATAAAGTGGCCTCTCTCCCAGGATGGCCAACTTGCCCACTGGTGGCAGGTTGGCAGCATAATTTTGCACAATCCTGGTTCCTCCACTTAAGAGAAATGGTCTTGGGCATGTTGTTCCCTACCTGCCCTGAGCCTCCATTTCCTTAAAATGAGGATAATAATACCCACATGGCATTGTGATGGATGTTGTGAGGATAAACCAACAGATATGTGCCATAAAGTGAGTAGCCTTTCTTTTCTCGATGGTCAGCAAATTTTTCTTTGTTCAGCATCTGGGAATGAACTTCTAGGCATGGACCATGAGTCCATGGTCCTCTGAGTCACCTGCTGCTCCCTGCTTGTTCTTTGAATTCCCCCACCACCTTTGTAACCAGCTCTCTGATTTAATTCCTTCTGTTGAACCACCTGGTGTTGAACACCTCTGTTGCCCTTCCTGGACCCTGACTGAGGCAGGCCTTAAGGCCCAGAGATTCATCCTGGCAATGTAACCTAAGGAATGGCCCAGGAGCACAAAATTAACAAAAAAGAAAGATCTCCCACTCTGTTGGCAGCCTAGTACGGGAGCCCTGTAAAGGAAGATCCAAAGCTTGTCCCCATCTAAGCTCAGAGCCTTCCCCTGGATGCCTCAGGCTCTGTGTCTAAGACATTCTGCCCAGGAGTCATTCCCATGGACATAGCATCTGGGGAGAAGCAGATGTCTCTCAGATGTCTGAAGTCTGCTCTTCTCACTGTCTTCCCACAGTTGGCAATCCTAGAAGACTATGCGGACCCATTTGACGTTCAGGAGACTGCTGAAGGCCCAGCAGGAGCTTCAGGAGCTCCAGAGAAGGTCCCTGAAAATGATGGCTACATGGAGCCCTATGAGGCCCAAAAGATGATGGCTGGTGCGTGATGGAGTCAGGAGTGGGGGATTGCTCCCTGAAGCCTGGGTATTTGTACAACAGGCCCTGGGACCTACAAGTTTAAGGACCGATCCTATGGTCCCTTTACTGGGTCCTTGGGGACCATGGGTCCACTATGGACCCCCTTGGGTCCTTGGCCACTGCCTTCAAGAGAGTCACTTTGGAGAAGGAGCAGTGACGTGTGATGCCTGATACATGAAGCGGTAGGGAAGGCCACACACCAAAGGTCAGACAGATAGAACTAGGATAGTTAGGAAGGGAAAGATAATGGTGTGGGCTGGGGGTCATGGAACCCAAAAAGAAAATCATTAGGTTTAGGGAAGGTAGTGAGTTTGAGATGATGTGATGTTGACGTGAAACATCTTTATGGCAGTTGGAAACACATGGCTAGAGAAGCAAATGCAATGCATGTGAGACTGGGCAAGCATGTGGAGAAATGGGCATAGGGAGCAATGAATAAGACCTGGCCCTGGGGAACAGAGCAGAAGTCAGGAGACGATCCAGGGAAAGAAATGAATGGGGGTGATCAGAGAGGAGAACAGGGGTGAGTCAGGCCAAGCCAAGGTCCCAAGGCAGGATGAAAGGAAGGTTTGTTCAAGAGCAGATAGTTTTAGTGTTGGGCATACCAGAGAGCCAAGATGAGAGTGGCCAAGAGGGGCAGTGAAGGGCTTCAAAGGCTGGAATGAGGCATTTGGACTTGCTCCAGAAGAGGAGGGGAACCATTGTGGATTCTTAAGCAAGAAAGAAATAGGACAAATATGGCGTGTAAGGGGATTACTGAGGCTTCGGTGTACAGAACACACTAGAAGAACTGGGCATCAGAAAGATGAGTTAGTAGTTGTAGAAATTGTTGAGGCTTTAAGGGACCAACAACACCACTTTCCTCCTCTCCTGAGCTTGGAAATAATTGAGAAATAAGATTAAGGAAACAGATGAAGATGAGAATGTCAGTTTTATTCCTGATAAAGTAGACTGGAGAACACAACTCAATTCTGTCTCCACAATGAGCTTCTTAATACCTCACAGAATTAAAATGGGGCTTGGGCTTGCTCAGGCTTGTGCCATGCAGGACAGCTATAGGCCCCTTCACGGGGCAGGAGGAGAAAGAACCAGAAGGCAGAGCTGAGAAAGAGAGCGAGCATCCACTGGTGATCAGATAAGCTACTCCCCTCCTTGGGAGAGGGGGGAGGGGTGGAGCTGTCAGCAGTGTTATTCCACGGAGCTCATGGAAACGTGAGCCTGTAGAGTAGAGGTTCACCCTAGTCAGGGGTGAGAGTCATCAGGTACTGGTGGTGAACACATGGGATTTAGAGAGATGAAGGAAGACCAGGACCATGGAGAGCAGTGTAGTGGACAGGAATGAGGAAAGTGGGAGTGGGAGGGTGGCTACCCTATTTAGGTCAGAGAGGTGAGTACCCCTAGGAGGCCCACAAATGCCCTGGTATTGGATGTGAAAATGAGCACATTTTTCTGGGGGAGTAGCTCCATGGCTTTTATTCAGTTTTCACTGGGGTCAGTGATCCCAAAAAGAAAATCACAGAACAGACCAGACTAGAAGAACTGGGGAAAGAGAAGAATTTGAAATGCTGAAATGAAAAATCTTGATGGCAACTGGAAGTGTGTAGGTTGCCATGAAACAGACAGGGCAAGGAGTGAGGGCGGGAAGAGATGAAGACCTGGTTCCGGGGAACAGAGACCAAGAGAGGGTCCACGGAAAGAGACCTAACGGGTGATCAGAGAGGAGAACCATGAAAATTACTTATCAAAAGAGACAGTTTCAAGGAGGGAGTGATCAGCAGTGTCTGAGCAACGAAGAAGGATTTTCTGATTGTCCAGTGACAGTACTTGGGACACAAAGAAAGAATTGGAGCTGGGTAGCCAAGAGGAGGTGGATTAGGAGAGGACCCTGCTTCAGTTTCCTAACTGTGTCAGCCTCATTTCCCAAGCCCTTGCTGGACATCAAAAGATCTTTTTTTCTGTCCTTCACACTGGTGCTTCTCTGCCCCTGCCTCCATTGGATCCCATGCTTTTGGAACCCCAGAGGTGTTTTGAGGGCAAGGGACCCTGGATGTGCGGTCATTGGGCCCCTAGAGCCAATGGCATCTCCTCTGCAGGAGGCATGGTGTGATGCTGAGGGGCACTGGCAGAGGAGCTGAGCCAGGCAGTGGGGGCTGTTCTCACACCTCCCCTCCTGCCTTGCCCTGGCAGAGATCCGGAGCTCCAAGGAGACAGCAGCTCAGCCCCTGCCTCTGTATGACACGCCCTATGAGCCAGAGGAGGAGGGGACCACCCCAGAGGGTGAGGGGACCCCCTGGCCCCGGGAGTCCCGTCTGCCAGAGGATGATGAGAGGCCCCCTGAGGAGTATGACCAGCCCTGGGAATGGAAGAAGGAGCGGATTTCCAAAGCCTTTGCAGGTAAGCCCTGGGTGGAGAGAGTGGGTCTGCTGGGGCCGCTAAACAACTCTCCAGGTTCAGGGGAGTGGGAGGAGTGGACCCCAGGGGCTGGAGGAGGCCCAGGAGCTAGGCTCAGGGGAAGTGTAGTTGAGTCTGCACCACAGAGATTGGTGAATTGGGCAGTGTGGTTGCAGCACCGTGTGCAGGGTCAGGGAATGGGCATGGGGGAAAGATGAAGGTGTCTCCCTACATCACCATCTCTTGGAGGCCAAGAGGCTTAGGCCACTTCTGTTTTTTGAGAGACTGGGTGTGTTTTATTTATTTTTTTGTTATTTTTCTAAGTTGATTTATTTTGAGAGACAAAAATGCACGAGCAGGGGAGTGCAGAGAAAGAGAGAGAGAGAGAGAGAGAGAGAGAGAGAGAGAGAGAGAATCCCAAGCAGGCTCCACGCTGTCAGCACAGAGCCCAATGCAGGGCTCGATTTCACAAACCGTGCAATCATGACCTGAGCCAAAATCAAGAGTTGGACGCTCAACCAACAGAGCCACCCAGGTGCCCCATGGGTATGTTTTAAAATAAAGAAATTCCAAACAAAATGATAAAACTTGTGGCATATATTAAATACTTACACTTAACAAAAGAAGGCATTTAACACTCTAGACAATGAGAACAGCTGTGTGTGTAATCTTTAGAGATACCAGCCCTGAATTAGAGAGCTGAGTCTCCCAGTAGCAAGCTGCGCCAGACCAGGGGTGCATACGCCCCAGGGGGATGTCTGAGAAGCAGGAACCCATAGGGCGAGGGAGGCTATGAGAAATCCCCTTTGCTGAATGAAGATTAGGTGTCTCCTGTACCAAGCACCCTAGTGCCTATCCCAGGCCTGGAGTCCAACACGGGGCTGTGTGTGTTGGTGGTCTGAGTGGGTGGCGCTACAGCCTGGGGAGCCTGGAGAGAGCTTTAGCCCCTGGATCCTTGATTCAGTGAGAATGTAAAGGATTTAAATGCCATGAGACTTCATTCCCACTTTCATGTCCCCCTTACCCCTCCTTGGGCAAGGGGCTCATCCTGGAGCTGGACTCAGCTATCCTCTGGGTCCTCCCCACCCTGGCAGCCAGACTGGGAAACCACAGGTTTCTGATTTGTTTCCTGTAAAGCGTGCACCATTGAGGATGGCCCGTTTATCTCCAGAAGTCTCCTTGGAGAATCAATACTGTTTGGATTGCTTAATGGGAAAATCTATGCTCCTCATTAGGAAACCTCGTTAGCAGTCCTGCAGCCGCCAGTGGCATCACCCTTCTAATTGTCAAGGCTCAGGATTGAGGGTGTGGGGGGTAACTTTCAATAAATATCTGCCCCCACATCTGAGTATTCCTGACAGCCTGAAGCTGGGCTGTCTTGGTCCTGCTGCCCATGAGTTCCCAGGCTGTGGGGAAAAGGAGGAAGGGAGGCAGGTCTGAGGGTGTCAGGAGGCTGTGGGAACCTGGGTGTGGTGCTGGGAGGTGTGGGCAGCTCCTTGTTCCTCTCTTCCTCCTTTCATGGTCCCTTTGGGCCCTGGAGGCCTGTGAGAGTTCAAATGAAGGGGACCCACACGGCTGGCAGGGCAAGACTCTGCTTCCTGCTGTTTGCTACCTGTGCCTCCCACCCTTTGACTAAGCTAGCCTAGTGTGGGTGCTGTGGCACCACTCCACCCTCTGAGAGTCCTGTTCCCCCCTCAGAAGCACCCCTGCCTCTGCTCCAACCCTCCTCCTTTCTAGGCTATCCTGTGTCCTGGCTCTGGGTTTTGGTGTCTCAACCTCTGCCTCTTTCTGTCTCTCTCTCTGTCTCTGTCCCTGTCTGTGTCTTTTTTCCCTGCTGCTACTGGCTCCAGTTGACATTAAGGTCATCAAAGACCTACCTTGGCCTCCACCGGTGGGACAGCTGGACAGCAGCCCCTCCCTGCCTGATGGGGACAGGGACATCTCCGGTCCAGCCTCACCCCTCCCTGAGCCCAGCCTGGAGGACGGCAGCGGTGGGTCCTGTGGGGGCTTCTGGCCAGGGTGACATGTCCTCTCACCCTTCAGGCCCTGTGGCGTGGGTTGGAGGAGCCGAAGTGGGGCAGGGTCTGAAGAACCCAGGAAGAATCCCCCATGTCCTGGAGGAAGAAAGAAGGGACAAAGTACACATTCCTCATTCCTCCCAAAGGTGTGGGGAAGGTGTCTCCTAAAGGAGATATTTCCGAATATCTTCCTCACCATGCCACAAAAACCCACCATTTTAAATTCACTTTTCTGTATAGGATTTTGCCTGACTCCTTCCCTGATCCATGAGCAATGCAAGTAACTCTTGAGGTGGGGGTGATGCTAGCACAGGAAGTGTCTGACTCCTTAGAGCAAGGGAATGGTCTGATCCTTGCATCTGGTGACAGACTGTAAGGGCTTAAAAGTGCTACAAGGAGAGAAAAAGCCCAAATAGGTAGAAAGGAAGCACTGAACACTTCATCTGTGTTTAGTTTTGTACAGAATGGGCAGCCAAGGGTGTGTGTGAGCACCCGTTTGTATTTGTGCCTGAGTGTGAGGAGTATTTTGTAAATACAGGATGAAGGAGGGTCTCTGTCGCCTGTGCGTGTGTGCCTGTGCCTTTTGTGGCCCACTGACTTCAGTCCTCCCTTGTGCTGGCTCAGTGGTCAGGCCTGCCCTGGTCTGGGAGGACAGAGCCGCCTCAGCTGGGTTTCTCTGGGTGGGGGCAGGGAGCCTGTGGGCAGCAGCCTTCAGGGCGGGGGAGGGGCTGGCTGGCTGGCGGCTTTGGGCAGGATTAGCCTGTCAGGATGGCACCAAGGGGAATCAGATAATTGTTCTCAAATCGATAAGTCATTTCTACAGAATGGCTTGGCAGGGTGATTTGGAGAACGGTAATGAACTCTGAGGAGGAGAACGAAACAATATTATCAGCGCTGAAGCCACTGGAGGGGGAATAGAATAGGGGAAGGCAGGCAGCTGCTCCAGAGGGAGAAGTTTAAGTGGTTTCTCGTGTTGCTCCTCTCCCCTCTCCTGCCACAGCATGGGGACTGGCAGGCCTCATGTGGCATAGGAGGGCTGAGCCCCATCCCAACTGGGGAGTGGATCCAGGATTCTATCCCTAGAGCCAGTCAGGCCCAGGAGCAGATCTTGCCCTTTCAGAACATTCCTTTGACCCCTTTGGGCAGAAAATGGGGGTTGTGCACTGGTTACTCTATAAGGCCCTATGTCTAGGGTTCTCAGAGACTATGACTGGTATATTCCCCACAGCCCAATTTGAAGGATCTGAGAAGAGCTGCCTGTCACCCGGCCGGGAGGAGAAGGGGCGGCTACCTCCCCGACTCTCTGCAGGGAACCCCAAGTCAGCCAAGCCCCTAAACGTGGAACCCAGCAGCCCCCTGGGGGAGTGGACAGACCCAGCACTGCCTCTGGAAAACCAGGTGTGAGTGTCTGTGTCCAGCTGGGGACTCTCTCCCCCTCCCTTCCCCTCCTGCCACCAGCTTGCCTGCAGGGGACACCCAGAATGGGTGGGTCTGGACGGCGAGGGACCCAGCAGAGATGCCCCCCTTCCTCTCTCTCGTCCTCAGCTGGTACCACGGGGCCATCAGTCGAACAGATGCCGAGAACCTACTCCGCCTGTGCAAAGAGGCCAGCTACCTGGTGCGCAACAGTGAGACCAGCAAGAATGATTTCTCCCTGTCCCTCAAGTGAGTAGAGGTGGGCCAACTAGCAGCTTTAGGCAGGATTAGCCTGTCAGGATGGTACCAGGGGACTCCACGGGAAGACAACCAGCAGGATAGGAGAAGACTCCCAACATTCCCCCATGCCCAACTAACCTGGGGAGAATTCCATCCTCATGAACATTTGCTGACTCTGGACCAAGCCCTGGGGATCTGGAGCAGTCTGAGGCTCAGCCCCAAATCTCAAGTAGCTCAGAGTCCATTAGAGGAAACAGCCAAGCTAGCATCCAGCTCACAAAGGTTCAGCCACTTACTAGCCATGTAGCCTGGAATCCTCTTAACCTCTCTCAGCCTCAGTTTCCTTAATTATAAAATGGGGAAATAATAACATCTACCTTATGGAGAAGGATCAAATGAAATAATATATGGGAGACACTTAACATGGAGCCAAGTGCTAAATAAATTATCACCATCGTCTTTTTTAATGGAAGCCCAAGATGTTCTTGAAGCACAAGCAAGGAGAGGGGAAGTGTGCCTGAGGGAGTCTATAGGGTGAGGTGGAGGCTGGGTCCTGAGAGGAGGGTAGAGCAGTGGACACAAAGCTATTGTTCACTCTGAAGAAGTGGGCAGGAGGTCTGGGTGCCAGTGGCTGATAACTGAGTTTTAAAGGATCCTGGAAGAGGAGGAGGAGGCAGGGCCCTCCCCTCCCATCAGCCTTCCTTCTAGGGAGAGGATATACACAGGCCAGCATTGGCCTCCCAGGCCTTCCTGGCAGAGTGACCAGTCCTCCCTTTGGCACCCAGGAGTAGTGCCTGGTAGAGCCTGCACTCCGCATGGCAGCCTTTCAGAATCCTGTGTCCATTCACATCCTGCCATCGCTACTGGGACATCTGTACCACATCCTACCACATTTCCTGGGGGCATTAGAGTACATGTATACTCCCTCTTCAAGCAAATATATACAGAGATTTGGGACCACTACACAGTTACATTTGAGGATAATTATTCAACTTCAACTAAAAGATGATGGGGAAAATGCCAGAATATAGTCAAATAACCTGAATTTTATTCTTGGGCTTAATAAAACTAGCTATATGACCCTAGGCAAATCATGGAGCCTCTCTGGGCCTTGGTTTCTCTCTTTGCAAAATGCATTGATGGATTTAGGTTTCTTGAAGCTCTCATACTCTGGGAATCTGCAAATTATCATAAAGTCAAAGGAGCATTTAGATAATGTTCATCTGTCAAAAATTTGATTTATATAATACTAGGAATGTGTATTGCTTTAATAGTTAAGTTTCATAGAGCATCTACTCTGTGCCTAGCAGCATATACACCCTCTCCAAACCAACTACCAACCTGCAAGATCAATCTCTTTTTTGTAGACAGAAATAAATACAAAGAGGCGTGTGACTTGCTCAAGGCTGCTAGGTAATCAAGTGCCAAAAACAGGATTTGAACCCAGCTGAGTCCGCTACAAGAACCACACTATTTCATTGCATAGCTCCACCCCCTCATTCAGTGTGGTATAGTCCAGGTCTGGGGGAGAGACCTCAAAGGTCTGGCTCCTAGAGCAGAGCTGGGCTCTGCCTCAGCCTGGGCAGCAAAAGGGGGAGGGTAGGCCTGGATGCCACTTCAGCTCAGGCTGATCTGGCCCCACCGACTGCCGGCTGCCAGAGCCTCGTTTACATATAAATGGCTTCTCTGAAATACAATTATGGTTTCTCTACTCTCTGTAATGGAAGGGCTTTCACTGGTAATTAAACAGCTTCCTCCAAAAGCCATGTCAGCCCTGGCCCTGCGGCCCAGCTAGTCCCACCCAGGCTCCAGAGGGTTGGGCAAGGGCTCCACTATGTCGTAACAGACCCTTGGGACTTTGCCCCAGGAGGTCTGTTATTCAGATGAATGCTTGTTGCCACTTAGCAGCCCTTTTGGGCCAGATCTGTCCCTCAAGGAGAAGATATAATGCAGTTTTGGGGAGAGGTGATTATCCCAAGTGGACTGTGGGTAGGGGGCTGGCCTCAAACTGTGAGAGGGTGAGGGAAGGCAGGGCCCAAGCTGCTGCCCACAGCCTTGGGCCTGGGCCATGCATAGGGCAGATGGGAAGACTACTCACTGCCTCCCTTCTCTACCACCCCCAGGGGCTGTACGTTTTCCTCAGGCCCTTAGCTCCTTTACACAGGGCCCTTGTGATCACTGTCAGCTTCAGTCACTATCTCAGGCTTACAGAAGAAGGATGCTCCTGCCCCCATATATGCCCAGCCTAGGGCCCCCGGCAGGCTTTAGAGCACTGTATCCTGGGGTGTGGCGGGGGAGGGGGTAGATTGGGAGGATGGGTGATAAAGTCCTGTTTTATCCGCCCTCCCATCCTTTCCTCCCTTCAGTCACCCACTTTCCTCTCCCCCACTCATTCACTTGTGGGCCCAGCGAAATGGGTCCAGTCAGAGCCCTCTTTGTACCCAGGCAGGGGAAGGAAAAGAGGTTTGCCAGCCTTACTTCAATATGAGGGTCCTCCCTCACCAGCCCCACCAGCCCTACCTCCCATACTAGCTTCTGAGCCTTGTACTTGTCCCCAAGTAGGCTCTGGCCAGGAGAGACAAGTATTCAGGCTTCAGGGCTCCCCTAAGCATTGCTTACCCCTTGCCTGTGGACCAAGCCTGTGGTGGCTTAGGCAAATGTTCTTACTGGGGCCCCACCCCCATGCTCTCTCTCTAAGGCTGAGGGTGTCCGGACCGCTGGGAGCTGGCCAGAGCTCTGAGCAGCAGGGCCCTTGTCTTGTGGGCAGGGCCAGGCACTAATGTTGATTTCCTGGATTATGTCAGGGAGATGAGAGAGGCAGTGGAGCGGTTCCTCTCTGAGGGAGGGAATGGAGCTGCAGCCTTACTGATGATGTCATCCCAGGCTGAAGGGATAGAGGAGCTTGGGGGCTTGGCTCAAGGCCAGTTATCAGGAGGGTAAAGGGATATCCCCAGGACAAGGCATTTGAGCATTCCTGGATTTGGGAGGGACTTCCAGAGCAGCTCACGCCATCCCCTGGTTTCTGCGAGAGAGACAGACAGAGAGCGAGCCTCAACCAAGATTCACTTTTGGTTGTCACATCTGTCCACACGCTGTCCTGCCAAGGATGTTTGTGTCTCCACGTGAGTCACTAGGAGCCCCCCACAGGTATCCTCCTCCACAGCTCAGGGATGGGGAAGGTAAACCAGTCCTGGCGAAATAGGCAGCAGGACACCCGTGCCTGGGTCCCAGGGTTTGTGGTGGGGAGAGCAGTCGCTCCAGTTTCCACTTGCACATGCCCTGTACACTCACTTACACACACATTTTTGGCACACCCGATGCCCTCAATACAAATCCAGTGCCTCATGTTACCTACTCACAAAATCCCCTCTGCCTCCTCCCTGTTTTTCTGGACTGACCTCCACCTTCCCTAGTCACCTCCACACACAGCTGGTTTGGAACAGCCACATTTGCTGCAGGACGAGGGGAGAAGAGGGGATGGGGACTGGAGAGGACCCCTACTCACCAGGGTCTCCTCTCCTCTTCCCAGGAGCAGTCAGGGCTTCATGCACATGAAGCTGTCCCGGACCAAGGAACACAAGTACGTGCTGGGCCAGAACAGCCCGCCCTTCAGCAGCGTCCCTGAAATCGTGCACCACTACGCCAGCCGCAAGCTGCCCATTAAGGGGGCCGAGCACATGTCCCTGCTCTACCCTGTGGCCATTCGGACTCTGTAGATGTGAGGGCGGGCACTGTGACAAATCTGGACCCAGCCCTGTGCCCATCCCCTGGCTGAGGGCTGTGGTCCTTCCCAGGGACAAGTTCTGTCAAACCTTTCTTCCCTTCTCCCTGAGATCGAGTGGAAGCTGGAGATTCCTTAATTTATTCTAAAGGGGAAGGCCTACTGGGGCCTTGGAGTAAAAAGGTTGTCGGAGCTGAGGACAGAGGAATCCCTGGGGAGAAAGGATAGCCCCTGGAGGAAGGGGACTTCAGAGCCGCTGGTGTCCTGAGGAGTTTAAGATCTGCAGCTCCCCGCCATTTTCGCCCTTAGGGCACAGATGGCGACCCCCCCCCCCTTCCCCACCACCTCCTTCCCCCTGGGTCAATGCGGGGTGGGGCAGGACGCGGTACTGCGGGGCGCCCTGGCCATCTCTCCGCCTCCACCCCCACACCACCGGCGGGCTCCGTCCAGAGTCTGGTGAGGGACTTGGGGAAGGAAGACCCCTAGGGTGGCGATAGCATTGAAGGTAGGGAAACGAGGGGGAAGGGCTCGGGATGGAGGGAACTTGCGCAGTCCCCGAGCCGCCCCGGCTCTCGGCCAGATGCAATAAATAAACCCAGTCCTGCCAGGCACAGCCGCGTCCGCGCCTCCAGCGCCGCTCCCCGGACTGCAGGGGGAGGGAAGAGGCGAAGCGAGCGCAATTCTGTTTATAAATCAGCTCCGGAGCAGACACAGGCCGGCTGTGAAAAGCACTTTAGAAGCATCAAGTTCCTTCCTTTGACTAGATGTCAAAACATCCCCCGCCCGGGCTGGGGGCACCCGGAGCCGGCAGGCTGAGCGGCGCCCCTCCCCGCCGCGCCGACGATCGCGGCTCCCCAAGATCGCTTCCAATTTCCTGCCAACAGCCATTCGTCTGGGAGGAGGGGAGCCGCGGAGAGACAAAGAGGCAGCGCGCCAGGCGGGGGGAGCGGGCGGCTCTGCCACGCGGAAGCCGCGCACCCGCGGAGGCGGGAAAGCTGGCGCGGCCGGCTGCGTTTTCTTTCCAGAGGAAGCGGGGCCTGCCGTGCCTCCCCCATTCCCTGTAAGTCCGGCCCCTGGGAGACTTGCAGCCTGCAGGCCTGGGCCCGGATCTGTCTTCGGACTGGGGTTTCAGGCTCGCGGAGGAACCCGGCAGGGCCGTCCGCGCGCGCCCCCTGCTGGCTGTGCCGCGTGCCGTGGGCGCCAGGCCACACCCGCCCACGCCCTGGCGACGCCCCAGCCCGCAGCTAGAATGGCCAAGGCCCGTGGGCCCAGACCCCCGAGAATACACACTGGGCCGCGGGTCGAAGCTGAGGTCAGCCTACCCCAGGCTCGCCCTCCTGCTTCCAAGGTCGAGATGAACAGAAGCTGCCCTATGGGGCTTACCAAACATCCGCTGCTGTGGGAGCGCACTATGAGAGCCTCTCCTTTCAGAACCTAAACCTTCCAAATGAAGTAAGAGTCATGGGATTTCGGCTTGCCTAATCCCATGGCCATGTTATCGAAATCGAGGGTATGTGACCTGACAAATGTTAAGAATTCTGGGGAGACAACTGAAAGGCTTACTTGAAGGTGGGCACTGCTTTAGAAATTCCATCATAGAGGGCTGCCCTATCTTTACACTTGGAGGGTATTCAGTCACTTTGCAGATGAGAAAACAGGCTCAGAGACTTCGGGTGATGTACTCAGCATCCATCTTGCTTTCATCTCTTTACCTGGAAGACCCATGTAGGCACAGGTGCTCAACTCCTGTTGTTCAGAGAAGGGCTGGGAGTAGCAGAGGTCCTGGAGCAAGCCAGGCAAACTCTGGCTCCCTGTAGGTTCCTGCTCTGTCCTGCCACACATATCCCTACTTCATGCCCCACACACCTTCTCCAGAACTCCTACCCCTTCTCTCTCTGCCCTTCCTGATCAGGCTTCAGAAATCTCACACTAGCCACCCTGAGAGGCCCTTTGTCAGGAAGGGTGCCCCTGAGCTGGGAAAGAAATCTCCAGCTAGAGCACTTGGCCTTGGGCCGGTTCCTTTATTCAGCAGATACTGGCAAATTCAGAGGACTGTCTGCACCAGCCTAGGTTACCTGGCTGGTTGAGTAGCTGCTTCTGCCAGTGCCTACCCCAATCTGGAGCAGAATACTGAAACCCAGAGGGCAGAAATGTGGTTTATTTGTAAAGGAGACTACTTCAGTAGGAAGAAGAGAGAAGGACTGAGGAGCACTACAAAGATAGTGGACTGGGTTCTGACTACAATACATGTTTAAAAACTGGGGAGAGCAGCTCAATTGTGCTGTTAGACTAGGATGCTAAAGGGGTTCCTGTAAATTTCTCTTTGCAGCTCCAGCCTCTATGCCCTCCAAGGCATTTGCCAGCCCTTATGACAGTGGGAAGCCCCAGAGGAGGAGGAGGTTTTGGGGAAGGAGTTCCAAGATGCCAGCATCTGTGCTCTTTCTTCATCCTTAGGCTCACAGCCCCCTTATACGCATATACACTGCTTGTCAGCTCCAGTCTTTTGATGTTTTTTCTTAGTTTGGAAGAAGAGGGGTCACTTTGCCCCAAAGCAATAATAGCTCTCCTACCTCCCAACCTCCGTTTCCCAGACAGTGCCTCCTACTTCTCCAGGCTGAGACATTCTGGACTCATATGGTCTGAATCCATATGGTGTGATTGACCATGACCACCTGGACTGAGGTGGGAGGCAGGAATGGGGGGAGAAGGCTGGGCAAGTCAGAAACAGGAAGTATAGAGTGAGGTGCAGGCCCAAATCTCTGCTCAGCTGTGCAGTGGGCAGAGCTCCTGGGCAGGAGACCTAAAAGTTCTCATAATGATGGGAGAAATGAGTCCGGTCCTGCCTGTTGATGAGCTGACAGGCCTTTTCCACATTCTTGGTCATGCCAGGGGGGCCACAGCTAAACACCCCAATCTTCCGGACCTGTTGGGGGAGGAAAACATGAAGGCTAACTCAGTGTCCAGAGGGAGGGCTGGCTCAGTGTTCATGTTGAAGACCAGCAAGAGTCCTTGGTGACGGCTCCTTCCATGTTTCTCATAAAGGTTTGCTTTGTACCATGCGTGGTGAGGGCTGGCTCAGTGTTTTTAAGTCTAGCTCAGTTTTGGTAGACTTGCTTCCTGTGGGTCCAACCTCTACCCCCTCCAAGGCATTTGTCAGCTTCAGGTGCAAGATAAGGGGCTGGGTTAATCAATGTTCAAATTAAGGGATAGCTTAGTGTCTCACTGAGCGCTAACCCAATGTTCATGGTAAAGGTTAGCTCAGTGTCCAGGGTGAGGGTTGGCTCAGTATTAGTGGTAAGAGTAGCTCTGAGTTTATGGTAAGGACCAGCTCAGTCACTGAGCTGTTCCTTGTGGATAGGCATCATGGCTTCATAAGTGGTAAGTCCCTGTCACCTGCCTCCTCCCTTAGCCCCCCAAGTAACCCCTACTTTTTTTCTGTTCAATTACCCCCACTTATCTCCCAGGTGATCAGTTCTCACCAGAAGTCAATTCCTTCCCTCATGGAGCTGGTTTGGAAGGTTTGCTCAGACCTCAGATGATAAAGGCCAGGAAAACCTTGATATGGGGTGGGACTGACCTGTGGGTGGACCTCCTGCAGGGACTTGAAGAAGGGCTCGAAGGGGGGGCGGCCAAAGTGGGTGATGGAGCGCAGGCCCGTGAACAGACTCCGGTTCAGCACCTTCTGGAAGTGCCGCTCACAGATGTACTGGGGGCACAGGGGCAGATCAGGCCAAGGAAAATCAGGGTCACTGCCTAGCCCAAGTCAGCCTGCAGCCCAGGAGACAGGGAGTGGGGTGGGGAGGGATCTGGAAGCTGAGGATCAGGACCAGCATCTCTGTGCTTCCTGCCATCTGAACCTGAGCTGTCCACCCACCTGCTTTGGCCATGTGCCTCACCCTGCCAACCCACATACGCACCTAGCTGCCCTGCCTGGCCGGCCCTGACATACCAGCATGGTGGTCCTGAGGTCAAACTTCTCAGCCAGCTGGGTGATGTAGATGTGCACGGACACCAGGTCCTGGCAGTCATTCTCCTCCACCTCCCGGATGATGTCAGCCAGCCACTCAAACTGCCGCTGGGTCCGTGTCACCCAGATGAAGTAGATCTGGGGATACATGGCTAGAGCTTAGGACTTGGCTCATCTCAGGCTCCCTATTTCCTGGGGATCCCCATAGCAATAGAACCCTCTGGTCTCAGTCAGCTTGTGCCTTTCCCCAGACAGCCTGGGGAGATGGAGTGTTGTGGGGCCAAAGGATCAGGCTCTGGAGTGGGAGATGGAGTTACCCCAGGTCATGGAGAGGTAGAAGGGAATAATAATCTGGGGTGATGGAAAAGGACACTTGTCAAGTGAGCTGAAGGTCTAATGGGGTGGGAAGCCGCTTTTTCACACTGAGCTGGACCTGCCACTCCCTCCAATGGGCCCTCTTCAGGCTGCTGGGCTCCCAACCAAACCTAGCCCAGAGGGATATGGTCCCACTGAGGGGCATGTCACAGAACAGCCTTACAGAAGATGCTGCTGCCTGGAGCAGATGGGAGTGGGCTCAAAGAGAGACTAGGGGGATGGAAGCTGTCATGGAGGGACCCATCTCCAACTTCTGAAGAGGATGAAGTGAGACTGCGTTGGGTTAAGAAGCAGAGGCAGAGGGATGCCTGGGTGGCTCAGTCAGTTAAGCGTCTTGACTTCAGCTTGGGTCATGATCTCATGGTTTGTGGGTTCAAGCCCTGCACTGGGCTCTTTGCTGTCTGGATCTCTCTGCCCGCCCCCCACCCCTCTCTCAAAAATGAATAAACATTAAACAAACAAACAAAAAAAGAGCCAGAGCTGGCACAATAGAGGAGCAGAGAAGCTGCATATCACCCTCTAAATGCTGACAGCATATGGGCTAGGCCCCTGCCCGCTGCGTTCCTGTGCCCCTGACTCACCTGCCAGGCCCAGAGAGACAAGCAGGAGCCTGCTACCAGGTCCAGGCTGGGGTGAAGGGACCCGGTATAGAGGGGGCCTAAGGGCCTGGGCTGTGTTCCTGGAGCCAACCCAGCCCATCAGCCCAGCCTTGCCACCTCCCCTCCTTTTCCTCTTGAAAGCAGAGCCAGTTTCACTTTTGCCCCACCCTAAGTGTGCCCTTCCTTCTCCTCACCCAACAATGCTTCCTTCAAGTGCTGGCTTCCTCTGTAAGAGGGAATGGGTTTCTTTACCCCTCTCCAACTCTGTTCTTTAGGGTCTGGGGATATTCTGATCCCTGTGGAGCAAGTCAACTTGGCCTTGCCCAGATCAGGCCAAAAACAGAGGCATGAGAGACAGGCAGAGATGGATCCAGTGATTGGGATGAGGGGCCATGGGTTGGCAGGAGGAGGGGGCACTCACCTTCTTACAGAACACTTGGCAGCTGACTGATGACTTGAAGACAAGGTCTTTGAGGATGGAGGCAAAGGGGGTGACCCCAATGCCCCCTCCCACCAGCACGGACACCTCAAACTTATGCCACTCCTGGTGGCCCTCTCCAAATGGTCCATCGAGGTACAGCTGCAAGAGGAGGAGTGGGTTTGAGTTAAGCTCCACCACCACCATAGCTCTGAAGCTGGAAATGGGAGGCAGGAGTGAAGGGAAAGCGGCTACTGTGGCATTACCTGGAACAACCAGTCTCTGGATTGGGGGAGGGGAGGAACACAGTGGGGAGCCTGGGGTTGCAGGGCCACGGTCTGCTAAGGGGACGTGGGGGCATGTGGCACATCTGGCCTGGGCCTGGTCACCTTCGGGTATTTGGCACAGCCATCTCCCGTTGGAGGTGAATAGATCTCCCTGAGGCGAGTGGTCCAGGGCCCTGCTGCCCGGATGTGCAGGCTGAGCGTGTCCTCATGGGGCGCAGAAGTCAGTGTGAAGGGGTGGTATTCTGTTGTCCCCAGAGCCAAGCAGGCAATCCGCACCCACTGTCCTGACTTGTATTCAAAGCCTTGGGGCCGCTGGAACTGCAGGTGGGTCACTCCTGAGGAAAAGAAGTGGTTAGGAGGCTGCTGTCCAGGGCCCAGCAACACTGTGGCCTCCAGAGAGTTCCCCACCTGAAGCCTCACCTCTGCTTCTGGAATATGACAAGGAAGGCCTCCCCCACACCGGAAGGCGTTACTCCCCTTGAGCCACGTCCACCCTGAGGAGGAGCTATGCAGCACTGGTGCTGGTGGTCAGCAGGGAAAGGAGCCACCTGGCCTGGGCTCCTCTACTCTCTGCTGCGAGAGAGGCTCAGGTCCTCTGGCAAAGAGCTTCTCTTGCCAGCTCCCTCATCACTTCTGGCTCAAGGGCCCTGCCAACTCCACTGGCCAGGTCAGGAGATTGCAAGGTCCGGGCTCTGCCACCCCCACCCCCACCCCCCACTGGCTTCCTCAGTACCACCCAGCTGGCCCCTTGACAGCCTAAAGGCTGGTACCTGAAGGCAGCAGCTCTGCCTTCACCACGCTGATCTCCACCTTCTTCCGGCTCAGGCTCACCAGTTTGTCCCCCATATAGATTAGTGCCGGGACCAGGAAGAAGATGTGGAAACGGGGCAGCTGGATCAGGCCGAAGCTGCCATGGATGATGAGCTGGAGAGAGTGAAGAATACAGCTCAGACCAAGCCATACCCACAACAGTGTCTCTGGCTAGCTTGGCCCTTAGCCCCTTGCATTCTCCACCCACCCCACACTCCCCAGGGCTCATTCCATCCCCACCTCTCCAAGTACTAGGCTCCCTTCAGGTTCCCAAATCTAACCACTCCCAACCCCAGCCCCATCCTGCAGAGCATCCATGATGAATGAGACTACTTGCACCTTCCTGGAACTTTGACTCTCACCCACTCTCCTGCAGTAGCCTCCTAACTGGTCTTCTACTAGGGTGCCCTACCATGACGCAGTCCCTTCAAGGCAGCCAGTGTGACATTTTAAAGTTCATTTTATCATTCCATCCCAGCTTAAAAAGCCTTAGTGGACTTCCCATTACACCACAGAAACTTGAGACGCTCTGGGCCTCTGCCTGCCAACATTTCCTCCTCCCAGTTCTTTAAACATGGCAAATCCTTTTTGCTTCATGACCTTTGCACCTGCTGTTCCCTCTCCCATGGCTCCCATGGGAGCCTCCATTTCATTCAGGCCTCAGCAGAAACGCTACCTCCTTGGGCCTTCCCTCAGTCCTCTCTCTCTTATCTCCCAGTCAACTCCCTTCAGGGCACTCATCATCATCCACACTACTTTTCTTCCCCCTGCCCCATACCTCCTGCCCGTTCACTCCCTGGACGTAGAGGAAGGAGGTGTCCTTTTTTTTTTTTCCCATCATACTCTCAGCTGTTGGCAGTTTCTGGCACACAGGAGACACTTAATAACTGCTGATTCAGTAAAAGGAGTTCCTCTAAATTATCCTCTCCCTTTAAAAATATATATTTTTTAATGTTTGTTTTTGAGAGAGAGAGAGAAAGCATGACAGGGGAGGGGCAGAAAGAGAGGGAGACACAGAACTCAAAGTGGTCTCCAGGCTCCACACTGTCAGCACAGAGCCTGACACAGGGCTCGAACTCACGAACTGTGAGATCATGACCTAAGCTGAAGTCAGACGCTTAACCAACTGAGCCACCCAGGCACCCCTGTCCTCTCCCTTTAGAGACTAAGAACATCTAACCAGTCCTCCCGTTTCCATGAAATAACTGACAGGTATTGTCCAGCTCTGGTCCTTTCCCCAACAAGCTAGTCTGACAAGGTCAGACACTACTTGCCCCCATTCTTCCCATCTGCTTGCTCCTAAGTCTGGTCAGTTTGGCTCCTGCCTCCACCTCTTCTCAGGCCCTGCTCACTGAGGGCTCACCGGCCCCATGAATGGCCAGACCCCAAGGTCTCCTTTCATCTGCTCCCACCACTGGCAGTCTGTGGCACTAGCAACTACCCCTTCCGTTCCACTTCTGCAACAATGCTGTGCTAGCTCTCTCAGGCCACTCACTTTCCATCTCCTCCACCGGCCCTCTGTTCCTTCTCCCACCCCTGATCCTGCATGCTGCCCAAACCTGGCTTTCTCACTCTGCTCTCCTCTGTGCTCTCCCATGAGGCATGGCCAGTCAGCTGAGCCACAGCCCCTCAGCGGTTCAGTGCAGCCTGCACAGGTCCACCATGTCCTGCTACCGCCTAATTCCCTGGGGCCATCCACAGCCAGGGCTGTCCTCTCTATGCCCTGAATATTCCATCATCATTTGCACCTCTGCACCAGCGCTTGTGCCCTTTCTTCTACTTGGACTGCTTTTCGGATTCCGCTCTGCCCTGTCAAATCTCAGCTTACCTTTCCTCAAGGCTTGGCCCAAGACCCATCTTCTCCCCAAAGTCTTCACTAACCAATTTGGTCCAAATGAAACTCCCTTCAGTGAGCTACTGTAACTCACTGAAACACTCAGCTCAGCAATTAATCCTATATTGTCTGCTCACTTTGATCATTTCAAGCGCATGGCACTTATCTCTGCAGGAAATCCTAAGTTCCCAAGGTGTCCACTGGGCCTAGCACCAAACTAGCGCATACTAGACCTCCGACAGACAGATAACTGTTAAACTGAACTCTGGTTCCTCATTCATCTCTCTCCCCAGCTCAGCATTCCTGAATTCCTGGGCCTTCTCCCACAGGACTAACTTAAACCTCTGTGGGCTCTTCTCTGAACTGGCTCTGGTTTCCCCAAGTTCTTCTTTCATTATGGAGACCATGCCCACCCTCCAGGCTTTCTAAGCATCCAGCCAGGCTGAGAACAATGTGAGGGTGACCTCATACTCCTGTTTATACACACCATTTGGTGTTGGCTCTACTTTTAAACCACAAAGCTGCTGCAGACTCATGGTTGGCTGATGAACCAGGAGAGCTGCCGCCAGCTCAGCTTCTGCTGTGCTAGCCGTGCCCTCTTTAGCCTGGAGCAGGAGCCTGGCATCCTTCTGCAGAGTCTACTCCACACTGGGGCCCTTTACTTGTGACTTCTCTTTCTGCCTGAAGTCAAAATGGTAACATAAGGGATAAATGGGAAGGAAGAAGTTTTGGCCCAGATATCCCCCCAGGTGAGACTCTCCTTAGAGGCCAGGGCTAGGATTGCCCAGCAGAGGGTCCTGCACGTTTCTGAGCTGCTGACTTCCCTGCTGGCAGGAAGGGTGGCTCTAAACCCCAGTGAGCCCCCAAACCCAGGAGTAAGTCAGAAAGGGGTCTTGGTCTCCAGGAGCCCCGTCTGGCCTGGCCACTCCTCTGGGTCTCCCATCTAGTTCAAAGAAGCTCCTGCTTCACCAGAAACAAGAACATCATCTCTATCCCTCATAGAAACAATAACCCCAGATGCTAGGGCTCCACCCTAGCAAAGGTCGGGAAGAAGGGATAAATTAGCCTCAGCTTCCAAAGAGGGCTGAGATTTCTTTGGAAATAAACATCATCAGTTCTAGGAAACAACCTAAGCCAAGACTGGGTAGTCATCTTCACAACCATGAAGTGTTGAGCCTCAGGCAGCATGGAAACAGACCTTTCCAATCAGTGAGGACAGGAGGAGGGAGGGCAGCCCACAGACACCAGCCTGACCCAGGCAATAATGGACTCTCCCTGTGTCTCAGGACAAGGGAGACCCCTGTGTGAAGTTCTGCCTTGAGCCAGGTGACAGATGGCAGCCAGGTGGGCTCTGTGCTTCTTGAATGCTGGCAGCCAAGCTATCATTAGTGGGGACACTGGGGCCTTGGACCTTAGTTTAGCTTCTCAGAGAGACCCTCAGGGTGCCCTTTAGGGAACTGCCCGTGTCCATGAGAAAGGCAGGCCAAGCAGAGCTATGACACAGTCACAGATCACAGTCAGCTCTGGAACTAACCAGCTGACGCAATTGATGACAAACCCAGGGAAGGTAAAGAGAACAGGACAAGAGAAGAGAGGGAATGTGAAGGAAGCGAGGCAAGAGCCCAGGTTAAGGAGAAGGAAAGGGAACAGACAGACTCTTTAAAACCCATTGTATCAACAGCCCAAGTGAAGACATTTGGAGCAAGCTCATTAACTTTACAGGTGGCACTTAGCTGGGTGGGGTGCTAATACTCTAGAAAACAAGATCAGAACAAAAGTGGCAAAACTAAATTCAGATAAGTTACTCTTAAAAAGGGTGATGCTCCCTCGAGAGTAGGAAGTCCTCCCAGGAGCCCAAACCAGCCACTGGAACTGGGGAATGAGTGGCTGGGCAGAAATGACATCTGCAAGAAATGTCGACCAGCCTAGTAGGGCTGCTACTGCAAAACCCATGTCAGGGCACCCATCTTCCAAGTGCTGTATATTGGGGTCAGTCTGCTTGACAGCCCCATACTATAACCTCCAGCTTTGAAGTGAGAAGCCAAGAGAAGTCTTGAAATAACTAAGGGGATAGAAAACTGATGTCTCGGTCCTCACTGCCTCCCTGGGATCATCCTGTCAAAACCCTGCTAGCCCTCACCAGCACATAGAGCAGGATGTAGAGGTGGTGGGTCAGCCAGAAGCCCCGGAAGCTGTGGCGGCGGAAGTGGTGGGAGGCAAAGACGTACATGATGGCCAGGACCAGGAGCAGCACAACCCCCGTGAGGCCTGCAAAACGAACATGGGGTGAAGGGCAGAGGAGCAGGGCCATTCTGAGGCTGCCATGGATCAGGGTCCCCTTTCCACTCCACTGCTCTGGGTAAGGGCATAGAAGCCCAGGCTTCTCTGTTCTTCTCTCCCCACACTGGTGATCACAGGTGCCTTTTATTTCAACAGACTCTACCCTTCCCTCATAGACCTTGGCACGACTGTTATTTTTCAAGTAACTGTGCCATTTATGTCTGTCACCTCCCTGACTTTCAGGCCTACAAGAACAGGGACCAGGCTGCTAGTTCACCACTGAATCCTAGTGCCTACTGTAGGGCTTGGCACCCTGTGGGGCTTTTATAAATGTGTGCTGAATGAATGAATGAATCCATGGGGCATCTACTTTGGCCTCTAGGTCAGACTTTGGACATTGCAGGTCCTGCCCCCGTGGAGTCAAGGCTTGGCCTACGTCCCTGTAGCATCACACTTGGCTGACACAGCATGAGCAATGGCACCATTAGTGAGTAAGTGTGACCACCAGAGTCCCCTGGGTTCATCCCAGAGTTGGTGGGAGGCACCCCCTTTACAGGGGATCCCAGGCCTGGGGTACACGAGAGGGCAATACAAGATTCAGGATGGAAGTGTGGGGCCAGAGAATGGCCCCTCAAGTGATTAAGGAGGAGAGAGGCAGAAATTAGGAAGATTAGAGCCCTGCAGTATGGAAAAGCAGAGGTTAAGAAGAGATCTAACCAAAGCCTGTAAAGACCTGAACGGAGAGGAGAGCATAAACACAGCCTTATCCACTAAATCCCACTGTGCAGGAATTAGCAAGCACTCTGAAGTTCAAAGCAGATCGTTTTAGGATTAAAAAAAAAAAAAAATGCTGTGTTTCACAGAGGGGAGTGAATATAGAAAATGTGTTACCCCAAAGAGGAAATAGACTGAAAATATAAACAGGTTCAAGAAGCTTTTGAATAGATTCACAGATAATGGTTCTAAAATGGGTGATTATGAAGAGTTAGGAATATTCCCCTAAACAGCCCTTGTCAAGAAGACTACAAGGGATGGGGGGTTCTGCCTAGTTTGACAATGAGCCCGGTCTCTCTGACACACAGCTGGGCACAGCACTCAAAGCTACTGTCATGGTAGGTTGTGTATACTGGGGTGGGAGGTGAGGGAGTCCACTCCCATTCTACAGAGGGAGGAACTTCAGAGTGGGGCAGTAGCCCAGCCAAGCTCCCAAGAGAAGGACTGGATAGCAGAGGCTCCTACTGCCCAGGAGAGTCCTTAGGACCAGAGGGCAGAGCCTGGCTCACCGTGAGAGCCAAGTGAGTGCTACTAGGCTGCCTCATGGCAGACAGAACCCAGAGCCCGCACCTCAGAGCCAGACCAGAAATTCAGAACAGGGAGGGCTCTCACCTGGCACAGTCTGGAAGAACCACCAGTAATACTTCTGGGGAAACTCAGACCTGTCAAGAACAGAAAGCAAGGAAGGGTGCTGAGAGGAGATGTCTGGGACTTCCAGAAAGAATCCTCCAGAGGAAATACCCCAACCCAGCCACTAGTGTCCCTTTCTGCCCATTTGGGACCAAGGCTCAGGTTGGTCATTGTCTGTCTCTATAATCTGGAAGGTGACACTCTGCTCTCAGCCAAGAGAATTTGCTTCTTTCCATCCATAAAGAATACCCCTACCTTGAGACACACACACACACACACACACGTACATGTACACGCACACACACGCACATACTCACTCACCTGTCATCATGGAAGAGGCCAGGGAAGAGGCAGGAGAGGACACTGAGTGGGCTGATGGAGAACAGGTACACATTCACCACATGGCCCGCACTGTGTAAGACTAAGGAAGACCAGGAAGGGTGGGAGTGAGCCTGGGGGCAGCCCGGTGGGGGTGTTCAACCCATTCAGCCCAAGATGAAGGACTCCAGCCACCCAGAATTGGGAGCCTGAAGAAGGACCCTAGGGATCTGTACCTCTGATCTCTAATCAACCTCCTGTTCCTCCCCCCAACCCCTGCTCCATATATACCATCCATGAACACAGCCACAAGAGTCTGAAATGATACCATTAGAAATTCTATCTTTTGGGGGGCGCCTGGGTGGCGCAGTCGGTTAAGCGTCC